GGTCTCCCTGTAGCCCCAGCTGTCCTGGAACTCTCTATGTAGACCAGGCTGGCCTTGAACTCACAGAGATCCACCTGCCTCTGCCTCCCAAGTGCTGGGATTATAGGTATGTACCACCACGCCCAGCTTTTTTGGTCTTTTTGAAGCAGGGTCTCCCTGTAGCCCCAGCTGTCCTAGAACTCACTATGTAGACCAGGTTGGCCTTGAACTCACAGCCTCTGCCTCCCAAGTGTGTGTGCCACCACGCCCAGCTTATTATTACTATTTTTATTTTAGGTATATACAATGTGTTGCCTGCATGTAAGTGCACCCATGTCATGCAATGCCCATGCAGGTCAGAAGAGAGCATCAGATCCCCTGGAACTGAAGTTACAGACAGTTGTTAGCTGCCATGTGAGTGCTGGGAATCGAAACCCCAGTCCTACGCAAGAGCAGTCAGTGCTCTTAACAGGTGAGCCATCTCTCTGCTGAAGAGATGGTACAGTCATTAAAGGCTAAGACTAGGGCCTGGAGAGATGGCTCAGCAGTTAAGAACACTGGTTGTTCTTGCAGAAGACCCGGGTTCAAATCCCAGAACCCACATGGCAGCTAACCACTGTTTGAAACTCCAGTCCCAGGGGATCCGACATCCTCTTCTGACCTCCACAGGCACTGCACAACATGGGTGCACTTACCTACATGAAGGCAATATATGCATACACATAAAAGATTTTTGAAAAATAAATAAAATTAAAAATAAAAAGAACTAATTAAGTTATAGCTGGGCATGGTGGCGTATGCCTTTAATGTCAACACTCGGGAGGCAGAGGCAAGCAGGTCAGCCTGGTCTACATAGCAAGTTCCAGGCCAGCTGGGGGCTACAGGGAGACCCTGTCTCAAAAAAAAAATACAAATAAAAATAAGAATAGTAAAAAGAAAGAACTAAGTTATGACACGAGACTGGAGAATTAATACACCCTTGAGGCAGAACAATAAAGGTGTACTGCTGACCTTGCCAGCTAAAAGCAAATTGCTTCCAGTGGACCAGTACTGAGAAGAGAGCATGGCCAGATCAATAGCTATATACCAGGTACCAGGAGGTGTCTTAATCTGCTCGAGTGAGGAAACCACATCTGGTACAGCAGCTGCAATTGGAGTCACTACTAGATTAGATTTGCAATAGTCAACTGTCATTCTCCATGACCCATCTGTCTTTTGCATAGGCCAAATAGGAGAGTTAAAGGGGGATGTGGTGGGAACCAACACCCCTGCATCTTTCAAATTCCCAATGGTGGCACTAATTTCTTCAGTCCCTCCAGGGATACAATATTGTTTTTGGTTCACTATTTTCCCCGGTAGAGGCAACTCCAGTGGTTTCTATCTGGCCTTTCCAAATATAATAGCCCTCACTCTTACAGGTCAGGGAACCAATGTGGGGATTCTGCCAACTTTTAAGTGTGTCTATTCCAATTATACATTCGGGGACCAGGGAAATAACCACAGGATGAGTTCAGGGACCCATTGGACCCACTGTGAGTTGAACTTCAGCCAAATCTCCATTTGCACCTGACCTCAATAAGCCCCTACTTTAACTGGAGAGCCACAATGCTTTTTGGGGTCTCTGGAATCAGTGTCAACTCAGAACCAGTATTCAACAGGCCATGGAAAATCTGATTATTTTCCTTTTCTAGTAAAAGGCTGCAGGTCCCTCAGGGGAAGGATGGGAGAAAGGCTAACAATGTAACTCTTCAGCATTGTAATAAGGTCTTTCAAGGGGACCTGGCCTTCTCGTCAGTCAAGGAGTTCTGGGTCTTATAATCTTACTCAAGTCTGAAAATTGGTTGACTGTATGGGATTTCCTATTGCTATGATCCAATGGAGACTTTCTATAATTTGTTCTAGAGCTTTTCTGCTTATACAGATCAAATAAAAACTTAGGCTTCCTATGTATTTGGTCCCTGAAAACACCCTAATTGATTAGCCAGGACCAAAGGTCCATTCCGGTCAAAGGCATTGTTTTGCCTTACTGCCCATTATAGTAACTACACTCACCTTGCCTTTGGCAACTCAGTGCTGCCACCTGACCCCTAATCTGAGGTCCTGTTAAACCCATGACACTGAATTCATGCAATTGACCAGCGACATCTCCAACCATAAGATCTGGCACACGGAAAGGAACAAAAACAAAGCCCTTCAAATGTGTTGGTGCCTCTCTTATCGTTTTATGTCTTATAATATCAGTGAAAGGAATGTCCTCTGGGCCTTCCCATTGTGAAGGATTCAGTTTTACTAAGCGAATCCACTGAGCATTCCAATTTGCCTGAGCCTTAAAATCCCTTCATCAACACTAAACCAAGGGATACCAGGCATCTCCAGATCTCTCTCAGTAGGCCATCTTTTCATAAATACTTCAGTCAACCAATCAAATAAATTTTTCACACCATTTTTAACTGCATGAGTCTCCATATTAAACCTAGAATCTCTGCTCAGTGGGCCCGTATCAACTCAACCTGATCCCATTTTACGTTCCTTCCACCATGATCTCACACCCTTAACATCCATTCCCACACATATTCTCCAGAGTTCTGTTTGAATGAATGAGCAAATTCACTAAGTTCTTTAGTGGTGTAGTGCACCTCCTCACACTTTCTATCTCACCTCTAGGGGCCTACTTATACTGAGTCTGATTGTAGGTCTAGAGGCAAAAATCAGTAGGCTGAGGAACCTCAACATTGTCTTGCTCTGAGGGATTAATTCCTTCAGGCAAGGGTAGCGAGGGAAGTTCTACAGGGCATGGGGTGGGGATGCACTGTCTGCTGAGGGCAGAGACTAATTCATCAAGTGAAAAAAACCCTTCAGAGTCTGAGCGTTCAAAGTCCTCAGCCTCATTAGAGTTCTCCCGTACATCTCCATCCCAAGTTACAGGATCCCACTCTTTC